TACGACTGGTAGTTGCTTCAGTATTAAATTCATGAACATTTAGTCAACTTTTTATATTCTTTCTCTGTAGCAGCTGCATCGAGGTTTGACAAAGGATTTGGAGGCTGTCGCCAAGAAGTACAAGGCTAGTCGTGAACGCGTGGATGCCGAACTTGAAAGTGATGCAAAGGCTCTTCGCGAAGCTAATGTATTTGCATTTTTTTACAAAATAGAGTGGGATATAAAACACTTCATTTAGTGGTATTGTTTTAACCTACTTGACTGTAGGCGCAATCCGAGAAGGCATTTTTGGAACAGTTCAAACAGAAATTGGATCGTAGTGTGAGCTCACGAACCCTGCGAAAGGCGGTGTTTCGTGATGTGCGTGACACCTTCAGCAGCGGAAGTGCAGTGTTGCGAACACCGCCAGACATTCCGAAGTCAGTGGAGGAGCTCTACATTGAGGCTGCCAACTTCCTACACCAACAGGAGGCCACGTCAAGCTCCCAAATGGCGCATCTGAAAGAAGTGCATCAGAAGAAACTCGGCCATCTTGAACTTCAATTGTTCTCAGAGCAATACGAACTCAACATGAGTATGTTCTCTTGGCCTGATTTCGGCTATTACTTTCTTAGCCTTTTGCTGTTAAATCGATCCTATCATAGTTCGCTGAATTTTGATATGACAAGCTACTCAAATGCATATTCAGTAGACTAATAGTTTTTTAATTATAAAATTCGATTCGCTTCGCCTTTAGACTTCGCTAAAATGCAGGGCAGGATGGAGCAACGTCATATGCACATGCGCCATCAATTGGCGCGTAGTCAGCTGAAGGACTTTGCATTGGCGGACAGGCAGCTCTTGGCGAAGCGGCTGGCCTCTCAGCTGGTGGAACTCCGCGAGGTAGGGGATTTTTCACCAAATTTTGGGGAAGGGAGAACCCTCTGGGACTGGGTCTACTTTTAACCTTTAGGCAGCAGAAGCAGATAAGACGCAACTTCATGAATCTCAAATGCTTGAGAAGAAAATCTTCCTAAAGAATGAAAGGGCGGCTCGAAAGAAGAGGATGTCCATGTACCAAAGAAAGCTAAGAGAGGATGGTCCTCCGGATGGAATGAGCGTTAAAGAGGCATTAGCAAAGGCATGTCACTCCATGACTTCATATTACTCCACCTCTCCGCCCCAATTAACTGCAGTTTCCTTGTAGGTGGAGGAAACTGAGCGAATGCGTGCAAGTGATGCTCTTCTCCGACTGGATAAGCATCATCAAATGCAGACACAGGCTCTGGATCGCGAGATACTGAGTTACTTTGTGGAGTTGGATGAGCAACAGTGGGAGAAGAAGATCATGTTGGCTAATCAGGAGACTAACCGGTTAAAGGAACTCGATGATGAACACAAACAGGAGATGAAGGCCCATGCGGAACGCCTCCAGCGCAAAATTATGGTAAATAGTTGGCACACGCTGAACACCCTGCATCTCCACTTCTGCAGATCTCATTGTCTGTATTCACTGCTTTAGCAACTCCGTGAAAAATATGAGAAAGAGGTGACCGATCGGGCCGACGTGACGTCGCTGAAGCGGCACTCTGACACGCTACCACCGCCGGGCCCCGGAAATCGAAGCAGCCACCACCTGTTCGGCAGACATCCCGGAATTACTTCAAGCTTCGAATCTTTAGTAAGCCTAACTTCACTAAGCAAGGCGTCCACAAATTCATTCCGATGCTAAAATTACCCTTTCCCGAAAGACCCCGATTCCCGACTGCCCTGATTCCTTCTGCACAAACATTCACCTAACTTGTATTTCACCGACTGTATTGCTCAAATAGCTAATTACAGAATGCATTCGTCGAAATGAGGTTCGATAACTTATCTATGCAGGAGACAACGCCAGAAAAAAAATAGGAGGGACAAGAGTTTCTGGACATTCCTTTATTGACCGGAAGCTGTACAAACTTATCGTCCACCTCTCTGTGCCGCAGGTTGTTTGGTCTAAACGTACCTAAGTTAAGGCATACAAATAATAACCTACTAAGCTGTTGACCATGGCAGTAGAAAGAGGGTCCAGTTCAGTTGTCATCATGGTCAGAACCGAAACATCAGGCTGATAGTTATCGCGACGCTCCCTCTCTTCTTCCTGAAGCTTAATGCTGATACCGCGAATGGGACCAGCTTGAATGCGTTTCATAAGATGAGTGAGAAAACCAGCAATGCGATTCCTGAGCCGCTTAGAACCAACAATGGCAACGTCCGCAGTTACACGCTTGTTAATATGAAAGTCGCGTGTCAGTTTGCCATAATAACTCTCAATGAGAATTCGAGCTGCCTTCTTTACGGTCTTTGTGCGAACGCGACCCTAATTAAGGAAACTGAGGCATGAGTATGATAGGTCGGCGAGGGAGAAAACTTAGCTGAAAAGCACAGATAGTGTGACTACATGGTGAAGAATAAAACAAGATAAATAGAGATCACAAATGGTTTTGTCCCGGAACGATTGCTAATGTGTAAAACAAGTAAAGCTAAACCAATAAGGAGATAGAAGGCAACAACCCAGAGTCAACCTACCATGACGGCCAGACAAACAAATATCGCAGTTCACTTTACGACAGCAAACTTAAACGAAGAAAAAAGATTATTCATCTGAATCTGTGTTAGGATAAAATTTTTACTAAAAATCATTTTTGACTTTTAAATTGATAAATTAAGCAATCTAATATTCCATACATATTTGGTATTTCTGCTATATGTATTCGAGTTGTTCAATCACTATTCAGTTTTGTCGGCTAGTAATAAACAACATCTTAGGAATTAGTTACTCAAAAGTTAATAAATTTTCTGTATTTGAAATGTATTCTTTATTATTCAAGAGATGCCTTGTATAGTGCAATGAAAAATATTTACTTTACAATAATTCTTTAGTAAATAATTATATTTTTTATTAAAAGTGAACATTTTTTATCAACACACATTTAACTCTGTAGCGTCCCGAGGCTTCCAATGAGGTAGTAGAAGGCATAAGTGGGGTTGAATTCG